CGGTCCCGGTCGCGCTCGCGTTCACGTTCGCGCTGGCGCTCCTCGCGCTCGCGGTCGCGGTCCCGGTCCTTCAGCTCCTGCCGCTTCTGCTGCTTCCGCTGCTCCACCGTTTTCTGCGGGCAAGAATGAACACACATGCGGCAATAGGTAAAGGCTTTCACACAGCTCAGCGAGAAGAAATTCAACCAAATGCAGAAATCCCAAATCATTCTGCAATGACCTCGTGCGACAATGACAAGCCATTAAATATTCAGTAGTCGTATCTAAGCAAATTCCAAAAATGGCAACTCTAAATTTATTCTCTCAATTTTGCTTTTGTCGTATTCTCTCCTATAACATGAACATTTTTGAAGAGAGAGAAGTTCAGTGCAAAGAAACGTCCGAAAAGACGCCCCTTGGCTGGCAATTAATACTGTGTGTAATTGACACCTACCACACGCAATTTCTACCCGTTCTCGTTTTCCGATTTATCGAACTAGCATTGCTCTCACAAAAAACTAAAAACGGCGCTTATCGAATCATATCTGGCATTAAAATGAACCTCATGATATATTTTGCCATCGATTCCATCGTAAATGTCATAACTCAATATGTACTCGACTGTTCCGGAGACGCCGTGTCCTAGGCACTGTCGACGAAATGTATTTCGCCCTGAGGAAGGTAACAGCATTGCGACCGAAACGTTGGAATCTATGCCAACACACTTCTAGGACGCGGCTTCTCCCGGACAGCCAAGTAGATACAGACTCCGACGGCAGAAACCTACGCTTTCGTCATATTACAAAACTTTCCAGGCCATCGCCATTTAATGTCACCGTGTTAGACCATACAAAGTGCGAACGTAAGACGCGGAATTAAATTAAAATGGAATGAACCTCTGGTATATGTTGAAGTATCAATAACCACATACAACTTCTCATGTACGTATCTCGCTTTCTGAAAATGTGACACAATAGACGCGGCTACATGGACACATGAGATTGTGAAAATAAAATCCATCAGGTCTCCAAAGCGATGTGAATGCTTCTGATTGATGGTACTTCCATATTTTATTCCTATTTTGAAAGATGCATAATCAAATATCACAATACAGCGATGAAGTAACTTTTCGCGTTGCATAACGAGCAGTACACGTGTGGCCTTTGTTTGGTCTTTTCCGCCTATTTTTGGCATCCAAATATATCAGAGTGCCGCGCGGGCACGTCGCCACACTGTTTAGCTCCATACTTTCTGGAAGGTTTTCTTTGTGGCCTGGCAAACCAAATCGCCCCATCGGTTCGACGCCCACGCAATTTCACAAGACTAAATGCTCTGGCATTATTCCATCTTGTACGCTGTACAAATTGACTCTGATCACACACACGCATCACATTAGCACGCGTAGATAATACCAGCCGTATTTTCGTTCTGGATCAGTGTTATAATTTTCTGTTAATAGCTGAGATCGATAATGCCTCCATTTAAGAAAGTTTTAAATTTAACTTATTAATAATCTTTATTTTAATACGTGAAGAGAAAATTTGTACCCCTTTTTTTAAGCATCTTGTGCGCCAGATAGTAAAATTGGCATAGTTAAAATTGTGCTGAAGGTTCTGAAAGCTAAAATTTATATTACAAATATATTCAATTAAATAAGCTATACTAGGTTTTAATCAAAGTTGTGTTTCATGTAAATAAGCTGGTGATTGAGTCCATTTTCTTTTGCATTTCCTAAGTGGGAGATGGAGAATCAACCTGAAACCCTGCTGATGAATTGTTGATATTTCAAAATAATGTGCCAAAAATAATATAAAAATATTTCAGCTACATCTCCTCAAAATACTTCCATTTCATATGCACAAATGTGTGAAATTTTAGTATGGTTCCACCCAGTTAGCATAAATAGTATAGTGTCGCCCAAATACTACAGAACACAGCCATCGACAAAGCTCCTGAACAAACCACCACACTCTTACAAAAACAAGATGCACTATTGTTGAGAAGCATCTACAATTTTAAAAGATCTTGGTAAATTTTCGCAAATACACACATATCTCAAATACACACAAATCTCAACAGCTACCACAAGGCATATTTTGTCAGCAAGTAAAAAGGTGGTTGGCACCAGAAAATAAAATGTTTTCATGTTTAATTTTTATTCACACACTTCAATTTAAACATTTTTTACCGAGTGTCATTCTAGCTTATATATAAAATACACAAAGCTACACTACTCTAAAAAAAGTATTATTTTTGCATTATTGCAATACAACTTGGCGATAACACAATTTACTGTAAAATTTGTGTCTAACAATAGCATTGTACTATATTTTAAAATTCCTTTCTAGCACATTTAGTTAAATTTACTTCTAAAATTATTTTATTTTATGCCAGGCTAAGGTATCAAATTGCAAGATTCTCCACCAAGCATAAGAACATTTTGTTCTCCACCTCACAACACAAACATCCAAGAATTACTTTTCATTACCAAAGCAACGTCATATACAAAAGACACCTCAGTTCACCTTTAGTCAAAATATTTTTTAAAGTTGTTGGGTATACACAACAAAGGTCCCACGATTATCCCTTAGAGTACACCACTTTCTTGTTTGGTCTCTACTTCCTAGCTTACACTATTTTGTTCAAAAGTAGTTCATTATAGATTGTGTTGAATGCTTTAGCTATATGAATGGAAATAATAAGACAGGAAGTACCTTCATTTAATGCTCATGTGATTTAATCAATGAAAAATGCCAGAATATCTTGCGTTTCTCACTCTTTGATATTTATATTTACATTAATAAAATTACGCAAAAATATGACCTGTACTGTTTAATGCTATGTACTTTTGGTGTCCTGTGGCACTGTACTCACCTCCAGCTCTGCCAGCTTTTCTCGGATTTTAATGAAACCCAAATGCAGCTTGCCCCCAAAATGATCAGCGAGACGGCGATCGTTGTCGTGAATACCCAGGTATGCTGAACACACCTCACACACCCGTAGCTTCTGCTGTTGGTAGCTGCTGGCAGGCATTGAGTTGCGGTACTCGCCTTCCGCTGCTGTCTTCTTCTTGCGCAAGTCCTCGATCTGTGGCAGAGCACGCACCCGCGATCGTGCACATGTTTCTCTGCAGCAGTAGTCAACATGAGGAGAAAGGGTGGGGTGGGGGTATTGGCCACAGTGGATTTGTTCTTATTGGAGATCAGGATTATCCTGTCCAAAACATGCTTGCATGCCACATTTTCTTCACAGAACACATGAAATAAAATGATGTAAATGTCTCTGTAACTCTACAAAAAAACAACAGTACTTGTGACTCACATCAAGATGTTTATTTCCTTTCTTCCTAATTCTACTCGTATGAGGTCACCAGAGTTATAACTAAAAATATTTAAGAATTTATCCGTTATGCCCTAACGCTCAATATGATTTGTTTACTGGAGACTTAGTAAATTCCTCATTATGTATGGTTATAAACTTTTAACAAAGTTCACGTTAGTTATTATACAAATTTTTACATTAATGCTTTATGAAATATATAATATTTATAAATTTTTAAAAGAAATCAATTCAAAAATTAATATTCAAAAGGTAGTATCACATTTATTGCCTTATACCTTTCACATTCAGAGACGAGATTTCCTTTTTGCCTTATACCTTTCACATTCAGAGACGAGATTTCCTTTTTGTTATAAGCCAATATTGCTTATAGTCAGCAACCTGAAAATAGCAGTCATACCTCTTCCATTAGTTTCATACTCTCTTCCACGAGTCCCTCAGCTCCCAGAACTTCAGCACGTGCAAGCTTCTTGCCAATTTGCTCAGCCAACTCGTGCACTTTGTTGGCCTTGGCTGCCACTTCAGCTGAAAGTTCCTCTTGAGTCTCGGCCAAGCGCTGCTTTGCAAGCTCAGTTCGGCGATCACAGTCGGCAATGAATGCCTGCAGGTGCTCCATTGCCTACTCAAAAAAGCATACCATCTATCCATAACATACAAGTATTACCAATAATCTTTCAGGATCAAGGATCATTTTGAAGACTCTGTAGGTAATGATCTGGGGGCAGAAGGAGATAAAGCAGTGCTGAATATGCCAGTCTCCTTTCTCCACAATTTAACAATGAAAAGAAAACGTGTGGATACTCACATCAATATCATAGTAATAATCCTTGTGCTGGCTAGCTTTCTCAAAGTCAGCACGCAGGGCTAGATCATGAATTTTGGGACATTCTCCAAGATCCATACGCTGTGAGGAAACAAAAGACGTTGAAACACCCGTGAATTGAGAAGCTGTCCCTTAAACTACATTTATATCTAACCATTGAGAGGCCACTCCGTACCCGTTAAAGAAAAGGAATAGAGACTTACCAAGCCGCATACACCTGTTCACAAATTATTATAAACTAAGAACATTTAAGTATGATACTGATTACTCTGCCACAATGAATCACTTAACTGTAACTTCAATAAAAAAAATTATATGCCAAAACGAAATCTCAGTGACAATTCCATTTCTCTATGCACATGGATTAATATACTTTTAAAATGATCACAAAAATTTTCACAATGCCAGAGCAATCAATGCCAATTACATTACACATCCTGTATTGTATTAGATGACTGAGACAAAAAATTGATAGCTGGCAGCTGATTCTGCTCAGTCATTATCTACATTCACAAATTAAGTGCTTAATCCTCTTGGCAAATGTTGCCTGCCCAGTTTAGATTTGTATTAAGTTAAATGCAGTGCAATTGAAATATTTATTTCAAATGATAGTCATGTAATTGGTGAATTATAATAATATACAGTAACACCTGCACACCATTTAACGGGATAAGACCCAAAATTGTAACCAGAATTGTTAAATTTAAATTGTAAGGTTGACAACAGTATCCCTCGTCTTCCACTGAAGACAACAGCATTAGTGGCAACACAATTACATTATAATCAGAATGATTTAATTTCACGATATTCAATTCTAAATTTTCAGTTCAAATTCCATTAGTTGAATAAAGCAACTTTTAATACCTTTGAGAGGATGTCTAAGGTAGTTTAAAAGTTGAATAATATGAATGTGAAATGGTTACAAATATGGAGGCAGCAAATGATGTGAAATTTTAAAAACTTCAATTAAGGGGAGTCAGCCTTTAATCTCTAAAAATTTTGCATGTATCAAAATTGCTGCTGTGTTTGACATGCAAAGTTTTGGACAACTTTGGAAGTAATTGTGGCGTTCGGGATATTAATGGAAGATCTCAACCGACCTGGCATTTTCAGTTCGAAGTATGACAGCAAACTCCTGTTTTATACCTACCATGTGCTGAAATATCAAATGATGGCAAAACTTTCAAATTCCTCCTACAAAAATTTGTCAGGAGTCAAGACAACGTGATTGAAAACAAAAAAAAGTTTTCTCAAAATGAACTGCAGTTGGTATCTGCCATTATTATTCCGAGTGCCTCAATTCATGCAGAAGGCTGTGTTAGGTTTATATTTGTCAGAAAACATTTCTGTCATTGTTGCATTTTGATATTTATATGTACTTTATGCATTTTTGTGATAAGTAATGTTTCTGGGTCGCATTTGAACACTTGTATAACTTTAAATCTTGTTTGGGAAAACTATATTTTTTGGATAAATGCTTTTTCTCATAACATACTCTACCAATTATTACTGCAGTTGCCACCTAGGCAGTTCAAATACAACAGAACATTAATTCATATAATTATATACGTAAAAAAGCCATACAAAAATAAATACTACTTATACAATTGCAAATATAAACTTCCAATTTGTGTAAAATTTATTGGTTTTACTATTATTAAATTTCGATAAAACGCATTGAATATGTTTTGAAGGGGGGCAAACAAATTTTTTATTTAACATGTACAGTATAAGGCTCTTGACTCCCATTAAAAGAAGTTAATTAACTTATGGTAACAATTGCACTGCATTATCATAATGTAAAGCTGAATTTTTTCATGTAGGCTACTCAAAAATATTTTGTTTACAAACTCTAGAGTAAGGTTCCTGCTTTTTGAAACTAGAAGATTTTCAGATGAAACATCAACTTTTGGAGACAATAACATTTGTTTTTAAAAACAAAATGTAATAGGTTATCTAAAGTGAGGGAAAACTAATGTAAAATGTATTTTCTAACCCACATTGGATAAAGATGAAGCAAATGTCTTATTTACAGTAATTTAAATAAGTTTTATAACTTTTCTTCTAGTAGATTATATTTAACTGGTAGTTGCAATTAAAAGTATGCAACAATTGAGAGACATTATCAGAATACTGAATGATTTTGTTTTGTCCTCTCAATGCGGTTCAATAAGGTTCCATACGTATTCTTCCAAACTACTTTATACTTTTTTAGTTATGTACACATTTCACTTCAAATCCTCTGGTTCCAATAAGCTTGATTTTCTCACTTCTACTGAAACAAAACTAGCCCATTTTGGAAATCCCATTGCAGTAAGCATTAAGAAAAGTAACAAGCACCTGTCAACCCAAGAGGAGCACTTAACCCTTCAACAATAATACATGAAAATGAAGCGAAGGAGATAAAGTGTCTGATTAAGAAATTTTGTGCTATTTTCCCCTTAAATATAAAAAATATGATGGGATGGACAGCCCTTCTGCGAAGCAAGCCCTGTGTGTATGCAATCTCAATCTAATGACTGCACATCAGAGTGATGCTTAGCAAAAGGGATGTTTGTGGCCTTCTTACAACTAAAAACAAGACCCTTACAGTGGCTAACAGAAACAGGCTAGAAGAGGCTACATTTGAACAATCAGGTACCAGCTGACCAGGCAGGCATTTCTAATCAATTTTAGCTCATTAACAAATAACACATATGTTATTAGTTTTTATATGCCCCTCAGTACAACCCTACATGAGAGAAATACCCTCCCTGCTTTAGTTTATGCAACTTACAGACTCAGAATACTCTTCAAACTCGATTGGTGTCGCCGAATGATGTAATGGTGACAAAATCCCTTCTAAACTATCCGCATGGGTGTGTGTCAAATTTTATTTTATCTCCCTAAGGGTGAAAGAGACCAGTTGAAAAATGTAAGTCGAAAAATTGATCTCAAGGTTCAAACATCTAGAAGTTGATTCCCTTAAGTAAACAAAACTTCAACACAGTCAAGAGTGAGGCTGTTGAAAGGATATTGAGGTACATCACCGGTATGAAGGCAGCCAGTACACACAGCGGCTGGCACAGGCCCTTGCCCCACGCACCCTGGCATATACTCACAGACAGCAAGCCTCACGATGCCTCATCAAGCCAACTAGAAGAGCTCCATGCATACGAGGCCAATTACTTACAGACTGAAGAAAACCTTCCACTGGGGTAAAGACTTTGGGAAAATGCAAATTCCCCTTGAAGCCTACTGTTTTAAAAAAGAACTACCCCATTTTAAAGGGCAGACATGGGACAAAAGGTTTACAAACGATATTAAGGAAGCATTGTGGTGACGTAGCTAGGGAAATGTTCTTTATTGATTTTGTCACCTTACAAGGACTCCACCTTACTTACCAACCCAAGATCCTGGATCCAACAGCTTTTAGTCAATGTACTGTACCTGACTGATGAGCTTTATTCAGCTTGGACTTTATTATTACATTAGTTAACCAATTATACAAGCCATGTACTTACAGATACTAAATTTGAACCTCAACCTGTATATTCCTCAATATTAAAGCCGTGATATTCTGGAAAGAACTACAGTTTGTTCCATTAATACTTGTACTCACTGCATTGGTAATAACCTACAGGCTGCTATTTCTGTGACTACTGAGTACTGCAACTGCTGCTTCTGATCTGTAACTTGTCTCTAAGTGATTTCACATTCACTAACAGGATATCAATGTTCATAATTAATGATTACAGCTTTTTAATGTATCGTGGAATAAATCAATAAAAAATTAATAGTTTAGACTTTCTCGAAAAACAATTTTTACTGCAAAGTTCTTTTTGTAGACAAAAATAAAGAAAGAAAAAAAAAAGAAAGGAATTATATAATTGCGTAGTCACCTAATGATGGTAATTTTATTAAATATTATTCCAACCCTACAGCACTCCTAATCAAGAGATAGGCATGTAGTTTATCTCACATAAGGTAGAAACCGCTACGAAGAGAAAAGTAATATTAACTTACTGTAGAAGATAATATTTCATGAGGGCAGCAACTCAGCAGAAAACTCTTGCACACTTTTGGATCTGAGAACTTCACTTGAAAGCGGTTATTTTCCCCTAAAAACAATAGTAAGTTTACAAGGGATACTCAATTTCGGCAAAGCGAAATATATTCCACAATTAAAGTAAGCAAAATCAATATTTGTAATATATCTTCATAACTACATTCATTGTACAAATGGCGATAAAAGGTTAAGGCCAAAACAATAATTCGACCAGTCTAGAACTGGAGAATTAAAAATAGATAATGAACGTGTTATTAAAATTTGGGGAAGACAATTTTTTTCACACGATTAAAAGGCTCTTTGACAACCGCCATCTTGTAGGCTGTGCTTAAATTAAAGTATTGTATCAACAAGAAGAAATTCAGGCACAAGTTAATAAAATATATACATTACCATTTCGCCCTGTCCCCATTAGTTGGTCTAGCATTGCTCTAATCTGATCGTGAGCCGTCATCTTGGCTTACTTTCTGAATAAAATAACCACAATACAGATCACTAGCACACGAAGGAGAATCGAAATGCAACGCAACGCGAACATATGACGCATGCGTCGGTGGACATCATGTGTACCAACTGCATTCAATCTAATAATAATAATTGACTGAATTATTGCACTTCTCAAGTTACTTAATCGAACAAGAGGGAAATAAATATCCACATTCAATGTCTATGCAAGGCGCAAAGTGATCAGATCAACCTCCGTCAATTCATGGAATTTTCGCAGTTGTCTGCACTGGACATTTCACTGTCAAAATATGGAGAACGAACAGTGAAGATGGAGTCTAGTTTATGCGTAGTAGTTTTGTGGGTACAGTTATTGATTTGTCATTGAAAAATTACCAACTTTGACGTGAATTTCGGCTGTGGGTATGTATTAATCCATATATTTTCTCTGTAGCCGTACATATAAGCATGAATGTTTTGGGGGAGGCCATATGTATTCGGTGTATAGTATTAGAACAGGTTGCTCAAGATGGAGAGAGCCCTTCGCGCAACCAGTACCTATATAAAAATACGTATCAAAATGAGTAATTCCAAAATCGAGTCTGCAATTGTTTGGGTCTTTTGTAATTAGTGTTGTTCATTTTTTTTTCATGTTTTGCTAGTTTAATACCCCCATATTTTTTCCAGATGAGTAGGCTGCCATTTTTAATGTAATGGAAAATCTGTGCATTTTGCGTGCTGATTTGGGAACGGCGAGCCCAGATGTTTTACATAAAATTAATTTTTCTTTACATAATGTGAGAATTATTTGCATATGGGGATTTTTTCTGTAATAATAGATTTTGCCTCTCCATAACTCCATAGAGGTCACTCACATTCCAAAGCAGTTTCAGATGTAGTGCGAACGCTGTACTTATAATATCAATGCTGCGCCTGTATAAGTCGTGTGAGGTTGCGGGATATGAAGAATGCTTTGTTTCATAGCAGCTGTTCTGATCCACAAATCATGGATACGGAAGGCCGAATGAATTTTCTTAACAGGGAGTGGGTGCATTGCGCTGAACAACAGTATATCTTAAGAGATGCTACCCCCGCAAAAGAGCGGTGCGCCCTCACCGGGAAGGGGGGTTCGCCGGAAATAGCAGCTTAATCTGGCGCTACCATAGGTGTATGATTCGGCCGTGCGCCCTCGGGGCAGGTGACCTTTAGAGGCTCGCGGCTGAGATTCGCGTTGGCGCCCGCTTGGTGGAGCGGCGAAGAGCAAACGGCCGCGCAACTGTGCCGCTCCCCCAAACGTCGAAGACCGCGCGGCATACGACCCAGCGCTAACCGCCGCCGCGGCGGGAGGTGCGCTTCCCGTCCCGAGCAGAGAATTCCTGGCGGTGGGACGGGCAGGCGGGAACGGGGTGGCAACAGCGCGCGCGGCCCACCTATCGCCTCAACACTGTACTGGCAAGGGTCGGCGGTGCGAGGCCGCCGCAACTGGGCGGTCCGCGGTTCTAGGGCTGACCGGGCGCGGTGGGGCGGCCGCTCGGCCCCGACGCCTCGTACCGCACCGCCTCCGGTGCCGCGGGTCCCGGGCGGCCCGACGGTGCGCCGCTCCGCGGCCGCGCTGCCAAATCGACCTTCCCTTCGTAGACGGGCTGCGCCGTGTTTACGTCGGGCACCGCGGCGGGCATCGATCGGAAGCAGCTCCGCGGTGCATCGTCACGGGCCGGGTCCGCGCAGCCGCCGCCGCCGTACGGCCAATCTGACACGTCGCCCGTAAGGAGGACGCGATGGCGGCGGTGGCAGCAGCAGGAACGCCCGCTCTTGCGATCGGGAACGTTCGCCTTATTTCCCTTTTTGTATCGTGGGCGACAAAATGGCTGGGCATAGAGTCTACGCAGGTGGGTACGTGCCAACCCCCACCCCCAACATTAGTCGCCCTCGCCACCCGACCCCCCACCCCAACAATCGCACCCGCTGCCTTGCCGTCTCCTTTTTCACGGCCCCGTTATCGTAGGCGTATTTGGCTGCTCGCGGCGACGGACGGTTCGGCTCGGCTTCGCCGTTGGTGGCTGCGTCGCCGTCGCCGAGCGAGCAGCGGGCGAAAATACCCCGCCTACATCACCCGGTACCTCTTGCCACCACGCCTCCACGTTTCTCTCTCTTCCCCTCTCCCTCTTTCTCTCTCGCGCGCGCCTCAGCGCTCCGCTGCGCGACGGCAGCGGCGGCGGGGAGTGCGGCCGCTATCAAGAACGGCGTGCGGAACTTTTTATGCCACGTAACCGGCGATCAATATCGCGCTCGCGAAGATTTCTTGGGCCGGGGCGCGTCGCGGAAGGTGAGAGGCAGGGGGAAGGCGAGGGCGGGCCGCGAGAGGCGTTCGCCCAGCCGTCGGGTTGCCCTAGGGCCGCGCTAGGCGGCCGCGGCCGGGCGTCCCGGTTCGACGGAGGCGGTGGCGCGGGGGCGCGCGCCGGCGCACCGAACAGCCAGCCGCGCCTCGCCTCGCCCCTCCCCGCACACCCGCGCGCCCGCACGGCCTCCCGCCCGCCGCCGCCGCCGCCGCCTCCTCCTCCAGCCCGCGTCGCGCCGCCTGCGCGCCCGAGCATTCTCGCCGCCGCGGGCCTCGCTCGTAGGCCCCGCCAGCCGAGCGGCGCGAGGGGATCGATGTGTTTGTCAATAGACGAAGGCGGACGGCGGCGGCGGAGGCGGCGACGGCGGCGTCGTTGCGGGCCGCAACCGCCCTGCGCGACGGCAGCGGCACACGCGACAGGCCCTCACGGTTTCCCTTCTGTTCCAGACTCCTGTTTCTATGCATTGCCTGCCAAAGAATTGAACCTGATGTTTCCAAACGAATCTAGTTCACATGATATTTCTAAAACATATGCCTTCAAAGTAAATTTTAATGTGAGTACCTGCGGCGACGCGCAGCGAATGCGATAGCCATGTGAGTAACGAGAGAACGCTAATCGCTTGTCGTCCTACATGTTCCTTTCTCTTCCCAGGACGCTAACGTAGACACTAACGATGTGCCAGAAAGGGTAGCAGAGCCACCCCTGGCGGGCTTTGCCCACAGCAACGAAGCCGTACGGCGTCCGGCCTCAGCGCCGCCCGCGCCGCGCAAGCCTGCATTTCCTACCAACCAAGTGCCTGTTCTAAGGGTGAGTGTGAGCTGCTGGAACGCAGAGCGATGGTTGCGCCTCGAAATCTCAAGGCAATAAGTCACAGAAAGTAGTAACAGGTTTCAAGCTGAGCCACGTAATCAGAGCATTTATCTCCTGATGCGATTCGCGCGCTCTGTTATTTGCATTTAATACCAATGTGGTTTAGGTATTTTTCGCCTGGAAGTCTATTGTTTTGGTTATTGACGAATTTCTAAAGAAGACTACATAATTGTGTATGTTTTTAAAAAAAATGGCTTGGCAAAAAGCTAATTCAACTTTTTCAATCAAAAAAAGGGCCAATTTAATTTTAAGTGCATTCTTTGCCAGAATAAAAAAACTGTGCAACTGTAAATATAGTAAAACTTAGATTATTATTAACACATTTTTTTTTAATTGCGAGTATTTTTCGAATCTACACCATTATCGAAGATTAAGATTTTTTTGTCAATGCAATGTATTCTTCAATATCGGGTCTTCAGTAGCGTTCACTGGTGTGTTTTTTACCAAAATAGTAGTGTTTTTTGACCAATTTTGAACCTAGCTGACTTCATTTTCCAAAAAGATTCTCAAGCATGATTTTTTAAACACAATATTTTTATTTTTTAGTATTTCAGTGTTATTGTACACCTGTACTTATCTGTACAAATCGTACGGCACAAGTGCTATATTCATTAAAAACTTTTAATTGCCAAAAAATACATAAATATATGCATGCCATTTCTTCTTTTTTGTAAAAAGAGACGTTGAAAGGAGGGCCCAATTTCATTTTCTTCTTACGCCAGTGAAAAGATAAAAATAAAAATTCAAGTAATAAAAATTTAAACGAGTTCGAAATAGTACTTTAAAAACTACTTAACGATACTTCAAAAAAATTAATCGTATACTGAAGTCCTTTGATGTTGCATTGTGTGTATTTAATAAAAGAAAATTCCCTTTTGTCATTTATGAATCGAAAGTCAAAAAATCTAAATTATTATTTAGTTTTAAATGGCTTTTAATAGACCGAAGACGCTTTTACATATTTTAAACGAATTTTTACACTCAGTTCAACGTATCATGCCAGTCGTGTTACACTTAATTTATCTTAAGAGTGCAATCCGTTGCTTCTATCCACGGTAACTAGGAGAGTAAAATGATTGGGTAAGCTTTTCTTGTCACTGGGTAGCATGCTGTAATGACTGTCCTGCACTATACTAGTTAGCCACGTCACGAAACGCAATCAAGTTCATCACCTGCCGTTAATCGCAGGCCATCCCGGTAATATCGGGTAACGATAAGGACAGCGCGATAACTTGTAAAAGACGTGGGCGAGGGATGCCCTCGAGTACACTAATCGCGAAATAAAGATGGTGAAAAACGAAAAATGATAACGTGAGAAGGAAATTAAATGAACCGAAGGGAGGGCGGAAGTTGTTGCCACACGCCGCCTGCTCCTGGTCCCCTCGGCGTGGCGTGGCGTGGCGTGGCGTGGCCTGGCGTCGCTCCGGGAGCAACCGCCCGCCGCTCGCCCGGGCGCGGGTGGCCTTCTAATTTTCTCGCGGAGACCGATCAATGGCAGCAGCGCAGCCGCCGCCGCCGCCGCCGCCGCCACGAGCGACTACAAAGCAGCTTCCCGCGGCGGCGCGGCACGGCACGGCGCGGCACGACGGCACGGCACGGCGCGGCACGGCGGCGTCGGGCCTCCCGGGCCCCGAGACGCCCCCGGGACGCCCCCGGGACGCGCGTTGCCTGCCCGCCTGACGACCGACCGGGGAACGAACCGATCGGAAACTATTTTACTGTTGTTTTTTTTTTTCTTCCTATTTTGTCGCCGCGAGGGGTTCTAAGGACCCGGAGGTAATGTCAGTGAAGCCGGGACACCCGTTACGCGTATGGTGAGGGCGTAAAAGGTTATTCGCGGGAGTAAAAAAAAAGGAAACATGGAATTTTTTTCTGTCGAGGTTTAAAAAAATACATTTAGGACGGAGTTTTGTGGGAGTGGGAAATTTGTGCCTCCGATTACGCGCGAAAGAAGAAAAAAAAATTAGTAATGTGTGCATTTCCACAACATACGGTTATTCGCGAAAGTTTAGAAAAAAATATCCGGGCTAAAGTTTTAATGTCCCTGCAGAAAGACCCTCTTTTCCATATTACAAATATTCTCTGAAGTATTCGATACTCAAATAAAACCATCAATGGTAACTGTTGTAATGTAGTAAATATAAGATTGAGATGAGACATTATTTAACATTTTATAGGAATAAAAAAAGCAATTGCATGAAATATTCCTAAGATTAAAATTTGTGTAAGACCCCAAAAATACTTTGTAAAGTCAAAAGCTTTTTTGCAATATGTTTTTTCATAATGTACTTGTTTTTTTTCCTCATGCCAATGTGGGTCTATTTTCAGGATTTTCCGTATTCTTTTCTTCCTTTGATTAAATGTGGAAATGTATTTTGCTGCAGGACACAAGTTCCCGCCCCCATGCCGAAAAGCCGGTAAGCACGTGGGTGTGCCCCCGGCTGGAGCCCGTTGCAGCCTCTTTGGCAGCTATGACAATCCCAGCAGGAGGGCGTGGGGCCCTGACAGGCAGCGGCTTCCCCAACTCCACCACTACGGGTGAGTTCTGAGTTTGTTGTTTATTTCTAATATTCAATGCAGGAATTATTATATTTACTGAGAAATACTTAGACCTTTTTAAATGTACTGCTATGTTTTTGATAAACATTTCTTTTTCATTAATCTTTTTATAATTTATTTGGTTTATATAATCAGCATTAAAATTAAACCGATGATGATGATGATGATGATGATGATGATGATGATGATGATGATATTTGGCAACAGCTGTGTGCCAATATGTTTTTACTGTATACCCAAAAATAATGAAATATCTTTTTTCATGTATAATTCAGTTGTATAATTCAGCATTCAGTTGTTATATTAAGATTTGATGAAATAGTGTAGCGACCAGCATTTATGCTCCAAAAATTGGAAGTAATGTATTAGACATTCTTATCATGTGATGTCAAAATTTAAGATGCATTGCAGATATTAGTAACATATCATTGAATAACAAGAGACGTTATGTGTTATAACAAGAGATTTCAGATGTTAACAGGCCACATAATATATTTTGCATGTTTTTGTGTGGTGTGGAATTAAGTAAAAATACTTCCACATAGATTATTTGTGAATTTGGCAATATTGATTAGATGAGTGTGTAAAGGATGAACTAATAGATTTTATTTGTCAATAGAGTGTAAACGTTTGGAAGAGTATGAATAGTTGTAAATTTTTTCTCTGCTTGTTTCCTTGTAGGGCTAGGCCCCAGTGAAGATAAGGCTGAGGCTATGAGCCAACAGCAGCAACAGCAGCAGCAAGAAGAGGGCTGCGGGGGGGACTGGGTTGGGGCAGGAGCTGGCCCCTCCACTATGTCCCTTCCTGTGGCGGCCAGTGCAGTAGCAGCATCTGTGATATCCAGCTCCGCACCCCCACGTCACGGCACCGTAGCAGAGCCTCCGTCCTTTGCGACTAGCCTCGGTGCACAGCAGGTACGCTTTTAGTAAATGTTTTGGCATGGTTTTAAAATTATGAAGTAATTGAAACCACTGAGATGGGTCAGGGCAGGCAACAACTGTTGTCACTTCAGTATTTCTGTTTGGGAAGTCGTATGATTAAAGTTTCAATGGTGGCAGATCCTCAACACTAACTATTTAGCTGAATTGAATTCAGCTGCAGTTGTAAGAACACTGCTATTGTGATCAGTAGTTTTCCGTGGTTTCTACGAAATATTCCAGGTGAATGTCAGGTTGGTATCCTGATGAATGAGCCAGAGAGTGCACACAATGTACACTTCATTAACCTTGTCCCTCTTTCCCTCCTTCACATACACACTTACATGCAATTACAAGTACACATACGCTTACATACTTGCACTTGCTGTACAACCACACATGTTGGGAAGTCAATCAGGTGCTTTAGAATTTATCTGGCAGATAGACTTAAAGGAGGAAACACCGTATACATAGACATATAGATCGTCATTAGTCTCCTGTTCTACCCGCAAAGAAAGTCCATTTCCCGGGATAAAACATGCAATACATATTCAGAAATATTGAATGTAACAGTTGACGTTAGAAGATGCAAAATAATAATTCAGCCATGTTGGATGAATTTGCCCAGTTTTAAATGTTAAAGGAGTAATAGTGTTAATTTTCTAATGTTTAAAGTCTAAATTATGAATTATGGTAAATACAGATATCTTCAGGGAATTTTGATTTCTAATATAGTTTTGTTCTTCTTTTTCTGTTTTATATTTCATGTTTTTGTAAGCAAAGTGTTTGCTGTTATAACCCAAATGTATTTGTATTTACATCATAACATCAAAAATCTGACATATTAATTCCTACCAAATTGTGTTGCTGATAAACTATATTGCTGTTAGTATTAATACAAGAAAAATGCTTTCAATGTAATTGAATATTCTTTTGTTTATTATTTGGCAATAATTTGTTTTAACATCATTAAAAAAAATAAGTGATCATACTTTATTACTGTATATCCTCTTGATAATTATTGGGGCTATAATAAAATGTGATGAACTTTGACTAAAATCGATAAACTAACATATATGAATAACGGGGTGCTTGAATTGGCTGGTGTGGCTTATTACTGCTTCAAGGCCTTTAATTGTATTAATTGGTAATAACTTCAATTTTATACAGTACTTTACGTTGACATGTATACAGTACGTTTCGTTGATTTTTTTTACTTTCTCGTATACATACAGAGTAATACATATAGCATAGAGAAAGTTATGTAATGCTGCGGAAAATGATTTTTTCAGATTGCAATGAAAATTTACATTCGGTCCCCTGATAACAAAAAAAGTGTTGTATGTTTTTTTCTTCAAAACATAAGTCGATCTGTCTGTCTGGTGTATAAACAACTCTAGCACCTAAATTATGCATAGGATTTTTTTCCAAATTGGAGAAATCTCTGTTAATCTGGCCTGAGTTGAAGCTTTGAGATATTGAAGAACATTTTTTGAAATTTGGGGGTACTTTACACTAAGCCCTCGGGCATTTTCAAAATTTTATCAAAAATGGTTCCAAATTTTTTCTTTAAATTTCTTGCAATACAGTAAAATAACAAAAAAATAAAATACACAGGATGGCATAAGTCTGCTTTTCACAGTTAACTCTGAATTTTCGATAATTGCAAAGGTTTTAGTTTTTTTTTTCAGCATCTTCCTACAACTACAGAATTGAAGATAGAATATTGTCCTTCAGGGTAAATTTGTTGTCAATAATTAGTTCTTTAATTAAAGGGATGTACATTTTTTTTCTTTTGGTAGTTTTTGGGCAATATTTGCAATTTCAAAAAATTTTAAAAACTATTTACTCAAAAACAGCTTCTATTTTTTTTTAGATTTTTGGTAGGGATACTGCTAAATGCACTCTATAAGATGACATAAATGACATATTGCTCTAATCTTTTGTTTTTCAAAAATTACAAAAATGTGTTTTTTTAGCTTGTCTCTCATGTTAATATTTACATTAATGGCAAATTGTTCACATTATTGTATTTACAAGTAGATGTGCTTTAAATAAAGACAAAAAAAATATTCTCAAAATCTCAATGTTTTTTTTGTGAAAATGAGCTCAGAATTCCGCACTTTCAGAAACTCAAATGCCATTTTCTGCAAAATGGCTCCAAATTGTTTCTTCAAACTTTTCTTACAGATAGTTGTAATTGCACTTAAAAGTTTATTTTGTTGTTTTGTTTTGTTTTTTCATAAATTACTGAAATGTAATTTTTTTAAAATATGCCTTAGAACGTTAATTTGCACATTCCCAGCAATTTGTAAACGTTACTGCATTTGTGAGTTGAAATTCCTCAAATGAACATAAATTAAGTTTTTCTCTAACTCTAACATTTTCTGGGAAAAATAGCTTAAAATTTTGTCTTTATAGTAACCCGTAGACACCATTTTCTTAAAAATTTCATTTAATTTTTAAATTTATTTTTTGTTTTTTATTGTAATTACATTATACACATTATGTTATTTATAAGTACATTATACACATTATGTTATTTATAAGTACATTATAATGGTCAGTAGCAAGTTATTTATGATCCCAATATATGGTGAAACCTTTACGAGAAATATTCTTGATGAATCAAGAAACCAAGATTTTTGTCATGTACACGGTACACAGATGTTAGAACTGATATCTCCAAAATTGTTTTTGATTTCATTGTGAGCATAATACTGACAGAAGAAATTAATAGGAAAAGTTAGATTTGCTTAGCAATTGTTATTGTGTCTAATGAATTCCAGTGAAGTATGTAGATGAGGCATGATGCGCATTTTCAAAAAGACTAATTTGAATTGCTTCAAGGGAACTTCTTTTACAATCTTTTAATTAATTAATTTTATTGTCTCATTTTTCTTATTGTAAATATTAAATGAGTATCACCTGTGGTCATTTTTATTTTCTGGAAACTTTGATAATTTTTCGAAAAACTATATTTATCTGAAGGTAAGACTAGGCTTTTTCCAAAATATCTCAGTTGAAAAATGCAAGGTTGTCTTATATTTGCTGATTAAGCCTAGCCAGTTAGGATTTAAATTTTTACATTGCCATTGTGTGACACAAAACTCTTTAAGGTTGACTTAATAATAAACTGCAAAGACAGAAAAAACATCATGCATACCTGCAATACGTAATTATATTCGCATTCATATTGTCGATATCCTCTGTGAATTTGTTGGGCAATTCAGACCAACATTTATAAATGGGCCGGTAAAGAGACCCTAATCGAATAACATTATGGCAAATGAAACTTAATGTAAAAATGAATGCAGAGATTTTGTTAAACAATGTGGGTTCGATGAGGCCGCATGGAATCTCTGTTCGACACCCAGCAAATGCAAATCTGCATTTTGAATAGAAGCAGAGGCCATCAACAAGTGCAGGACGGATTGAAAATTTAGTGACAGAAGGGAATGTTCTTAGATGAAAGACCATGAACAACACAAATTTAGTGCGCAAAACTTTCAAGAGGGGCCTAACAAGTCAGATGTCACAGCATAGATGGAATACCAAAAAGATAAAAAACACATGTAAAGATGATGAGGGTAGTGACAAAAACCATGATTATGATGATATTAAGGAACATGAAAATTAGAGTTCAGGAAGAAGTCTCAACATTCTCATCAAGAAAGCAATTTTCTAGTCAATAAACCATTTTGTAATATAATTTTGATTAAATGGTACAAATTAGTTAAAAATTAAAAATTTCTCAACAGGCCTCTTCAAAATTAGGGGATTGTCTTGTATTCAAGGTAGTCTTATATTTGAGAAAATACAATGTATTCTGTGGAAGATGTGCTCTTTTAATCCCTTCCCCTCATGAATCCACACCTGACAAAAAGTAGAAATTAAAATTTAAATGTATTTTAGGTTTCATGATTATTTCTTTGGTGCTTTGAACTTGCAAACATTTTTTATAACTCAATTTACAAGTATATAAGAGGCTGAAAGAACTGTTTCTGTTTTTTGTTTCAGGGCTTCAATGCAATGTTAGCCAGTCACCTGGGATCTTCCAACAGCAATAGTCTGTCTCGTCGAGATGCACAAAGTCACCACAGCGATGTCAGCTTTACTGACGTGGACCCCACCCATGTCTCTCAGGCCATTGAAAATCCAAATAAATCAAGCAACCAAGTCCAAGAGGAAACAAGTATGCAATCTTGTGTGAACTTTCGTAGTGAAGTAGCAAAGGCTGAAGAGGAGGAAGTGACGACCTGCAGCGGGAGTGTGCCCCCAGGGCAGGAAGGGGGAATCCCGCAAACCACTGGTGCTCTTTCCGATCAGGATAAGCTTAAGTTTAAGGCTAAAATCATGGGTAAGACTGTGAGTCTGCCCATTGCAGCCCAGGGTGAAACTCTGGCTGCGACAAACATTCCTTCACCATGTGACAGCGCATTGGTGAATCTTCACGCAACAGTCCAGGGTATCTCTGACAGTAACCCACCACCAAGCTTTAATAATCTTAATGTTAATGCTAAGAATAATGTAACTTTAACTAGTGTGGGAGAGGCGAGTGTAGGCCCTGCTTCAAATGCTCGGTGGGGCATCCCTCGTGGTTTGGGCCTCCGGGGAGGTGGCGAGAGCTCATCAAGTTGGGGCACGCCACCGTCTGGAGGCAGCACTGCGGGATCTGGATGGGGTGGAAGTGGAGGAGGAGGTCAAACAGGAGGATCCTCAAGCGGAGGCTCCCAAGGCCAATGGGGAGGTGGTTCCAATTCTGGAAACCAATCATCTGGCGGTAACAACATGAACAGGGGCTCTGGAGGAGGGCAAGGACAAGGCTCCGGTGGACAGAATGGATCAGGTAAGAGGAAGTGAAGTTTTTTGTATGTAGTTGGAGAAACTGGGATCAGGAATCAATTAGTTATGCTTTTTAACCATCAAAAGTATGCATATGTCATTCTATAATAAGTTATAAAACAAACTACTCTCTTATCAAAAAATAAAATTATTTGTTACTGTGAACACAAAATTAAAACACTAATTTTATACATTCTATCTTCTTTTTCATTTCTTAATTTTGTATATTATCTGCAAAATATGTAAACATGTAGGACAATCCTGATAATGTTCACAATAAAATGAAGATAGACATGAGATAAAAATAAAATTACAATATGGTAATTATACAAATTTGGAAAAAGGAAAAGAAAGAAAAGATGGTAGATGATAATAAAGAGAGATCAAAGTAAAATTGGTCCAAATATTGTTTAAATATGTGAATGCAGCGAGCATTACTTATTATTTACTTTTCACTTTGCAAATGAATTAACTTAAATTTATTCATTCTATAACGTTCTTAAATTTGTGTATTTATCATGTTATCTCCCTTGACACATGTTTCTGCCCATTTGACATGTGTGTGCATGCACAAGCATGCACATGCATGCACATCCACAATTGCATCCATTTGTCCATCTGAAGTGTGCATGTGCCTTCCTGATATGAGTGCATTTACGTGCCTGACACATTAATTATCCCCACTGTCATAAGTATCTGCCCTTCTCACATAAGTATATTAACCCTGTTGTGTTCATTCAGATAAAATCTTTAAGACCTTTACAAACTTTACCTAAAAATGACCCCCATTTTTTTTCTTTGAAGTTTGCTTGAGTAGAGGGCAATCTTTGAAATTTCCATGATTTTTTAAAATTTAGTAGATAATATTGAAGTTTGAAATTCATTCCTCAGTTGAATCTAGTCTCAATATTAGAGGTATTATCTATTGTCTATCTATTCCTAATATTAGAAGTAAATTTTTTTACAAGTATACTTTTTCAAAATATTTTGAATAAAATTATAACAAATTTCCAAAAATACAAGGAAAAAAATCTTAGAAATGTCTCAAAGTTTTTCTTTAAATGTCATTCACCCTTAAATTTCTTTTAATGCATTTGTAGACCCAAATAATTTTAAATGTAGGTTTTCGAGTAGAATGAAAATGAAATCCCAATAGGTTTTGAGTAGAATGTGTATGGTGCATTTTCATAAACCTTTGAACAAATTTCTTTTCTCAAAATATTAAAAAAAGTTTTTTTGAAAACATCCATATTACAAATAGTTTGCTGTTCTGTGATATTCTAAGAGCCTAATTTTGATTCAACTACTAGAGGATCCAAATGAAGAAAATAAGTGTTTTTGATCAAACACAGTATGTAATTTATCGATATTCTAGTAACAGAAAGTAAATCATCATGTTAATGTAAATGTTTTTTAAATAATGTTTTTGTTACAACATTTTGTGATTGTTAAAAGTTTGTGATTTTAAAGAGAGTGTTAATTTTTTTGTTTTGGAATTCATGTTATTTAGCACTGAAGAGATCTTTATTAACATACTCCAAAAATGTTAATCAATGTTCAGATCTATAGATGTCAAGGGCGGTTTCTGCAAACTGAGCATGCGTCAAATTCTCATTGAGTTTTTGTGAGCTCACATCTCCTAGCTTCAGTCATGAGACGTCCTGCTGATTATGACCAATGAAGTTAACAGTGAGCCTTCAAACCTCATTCTGGCCAGTACAAGGAGAAGGGTGTGTACCTTGAATAGCTGTGTTACTGTTTCTCTACTGCTTTTACTCTCATGAATATTATTGTAAATAACATGCCAAATGAACAAATGGAAAAAAAGGAAATGCCAAAATGAAAAAAGGAAAATGAATTGAGTGAATGATCAATTCATTCATACAACTCGCCATTCACCAACTTATTTGCAAGTACACCTCTAATTTTATTGGATGAAAGAAGCAATCTTGTACTAACAAAAAACAAAGATATTGGAGTTCAATCTATATTGATTTGGAGTCCTATTTGAAAATGTGAATTTTGTGGTTCATCACTTCAATGACTTGCAAATTTTGTCCTCAAAAAACTATTTTCTGAATGACACAATTGTGCCATCAATGAATTCACAATCTGATTTGGTTGCCCAATTTCTTATGAACTCAAATGGAGTGATTACCTCAACATTGCAGACAAGAATACATATAAATTATTAGTTGGGAAATACTTTATCAGTATGTACCTTGCTTTTGTTAAAATCTTCAAAATTTGATTGACAAATTCTGGAACATTGCTGCCACACACTTAGCCAGTGATCTACACCTTGGAAAGAGTGAAAAGCAGAGTGATGAAACTTCTACAATTCTGAAAAATCTCTTTGTTCAAGTGTAATTGACTGCACTTGGGCTGCAGACTGAAACAGAAAAGACTCCATTGACCTTTCTGAGAATGTAATATCCCTCAAGTGTATTAAAATTGTGATGCATTACATTTCATCCATGCAAACTCAACTCCAAATTGCATCTGCAAGGGCATTGGTGTAGACTGCCCAAAGCAATATTTCCAAGAATCTATACTATTCAAAAATAGTGTTGACGCTTGTAATTGTTTACCTGTGAAGATAGTAGAATCTCTCTCTCTCATTGCACTCTGTACTTTAAAATGAAAAGAAAGAAAAACACGGAAAGAAAAACAATGCTTCATTTTCTACCATTCACATTGTATGTCTCCCTACATGATGGTAGATTTCGCCAAGGAATCTTAGTGAATGGGAATATTTCATTTGATATTTAAATTTTGGAATTCATTTTTGCCAACTTGTTTATCTTTGTTAATGTAATTATTGGGTGGTTATATATTTATGTCTTCTGTACATATGTACGTTTGTGATGGTTAATTTCCAAATTGTGAAACCTAAATATCTTCAGCAAATTGACAACACTTAATTCCCTGCACAGTTACAACAATTTGCACATACGTTAAGGTATGCAAAAACTACAAATGTTTCTGAATAGGATTTGTATAGTTCCCTTAAAATTTGGAATTGTTTTGTTGTTGTTGTTGTTGTTGTTGTTGTTTTTGAACTCTGTCCCACTGTCCTGAAAAAATTGGTTAGGGCGTTGAAATGTCTCATATTTTTCTGATTCCTGTTTTTGCTACGGAATGGTACAATAAAATAATACTACTTGTTTTTTTATTTACCATGAAAAAACAAAATGGAATGTTTTGCATGGCCTTCTGTTCATACTTCTTGCAGATCCAGGGACTTTTTAATGTTTTAACCATGATTACTCCAAACACAACTCTGAAGTAAACATGGATTTTTCATGTGCATTGAATGTGGATATACTTTGAAAATGCTACGTAGTGGCAAAATGTTCAAAATGCAAAGTTAGAAAATTTCCTAGGAGTTATTTTCTAGCAGAGTTTTTCTCAATAATAGTCTTTCTCACTTTCAATAACTTTTGAATTCTTTGTGAACAACAACTGAAAATTTTCAAACAATGTTTTCTTGCTTCATGTTTTTTGAAAAACTTGTCTAGCACTTTGGTCCTTTTTTACAGCAGTATTCTCATTAAACAAATAGAAAATTTAATTTTCTTTAAAAATAGGTTTATTTAAATGATAAAAAGAATATGAAATGTTTGGACATTGTTGGAATTTCTTTTTTGCTTGGATTAACCACAACAGCAATATTTTGTTAGTAGGGTGCCGCATTTTTGTTAATTCTATGCCCAAACATATACATGATGGTTAAATCCCGAGGCCAGAATCCTTGTTGACCAGAGTTATTATGATATACAGTAAAAATAAATAATAAAAAGAAGTAGAGAATTACGTGGCTCACGTCTTTTACCTGCAAAACCTCAAGGAGAAAAAAATAAATAAATTGTGAACCTTATTTCTGAAACAAACTAAAGTCTGTGCTTCCTGGCTGGAGTCGATAGATACTTGGCTGTGATGACGTTTCCTAGGCACAAGGCTACTCTGCCTAGCACGTAGGATTTTCTGGTCAGTCAAGTATATATTTCTGAAATAGTTTTTGGATCGGCGAGACCGGTTAAGAATTAACTGCCAATTTTTTTCCAGAACACTGGAACCTTATTTTATTTTATTTTTTATTTTGTCAGTTTAAAAAAAAATATTTTCTTTCATGTAAACATTATACTCTAGAGATGGTTTTGTAATTCTGCAACAAATTGATTGTTAGATTTTAATGGAGATGCTTATTTTGGAGGTTCCTGATACCATAAAAGATTTTTTTCACTCACTGTCTCCTTCTTCTTCTTCTTCTTCTTCTCCTTCTTCTTCTTCTTCTTCTTCTTCTTCTTCTTCTCCTCCTTCTTCTTCTTCTCCTCCTCCTCCTACTTCTTCTTCTTCTCCTCCTCCTCCTACTTCTTCTTCTCCTCCTCCTTCTTCTTCTTCTCCTCCTCCTACTTCTTCTTCTCCTCCTCCTCCTACTTCTTCTTCTTCTTCTCCTCCTCCTCCTACTTCTTCTTCTTCTTCTCCTCCTCCTCCTCCTTCTTCTTCTTCTCCTCCTCCTCCTTCTACTTCTTCTTCTTCTCCTCCTCCTCCTCCTCCTTCTACTTCTTCTTCTCCTCCTCCTTCTTCTTTTCTTTTCCCAAAACTAAAAAGTGTTAAGTTTATTTTTAAATATATAATTTGTTACAGGCATGTTTCATAATTTAATTTTTTCGCATTTGTTAACTCAGATGCGTCAAATTCTCTTATGAAGGGTTTCAATCTCTTGATAATTTTGTGTGAGCTCAAATATGTGTTTTCCTAGAAATGCTGCTGTGACTTTTTTTTTGAAAATCAGTCACAATTTTTTTACTCAGAAATTTCCACAAAAAAAGATCTTTTCCCTACTCGTGTATACTTAAACAGCCTCATGGAACACTTGGTCTTGAGGTAGATCTGCACTTGTAAGTTTGTAGATTTAAATCCCATGCAGGGCATGGAAACTTTCAGGTGTGTTTGTGTAGGGACTTTTCCCAATCCCTCATGTATAACCTCTTGTGTACTGTAACCAATCCATT